TAAGTTAGATTTAAGAAGATCTTAGCTCAAAGTTATATAGTAAATTTATATGTTTTTTTGAAAATTTTAATTATAGAAAGCATTTTGACCTATCTTAAGGGGACATGTCCTGGATCTGATATTACTAGTTTTAATTAGTTTAGCACTAAAAAAATAGAAATGGAGAAAAATTAAGTGAGAGATTCGAAATTACTAGCATTGTTGTGATAAATTTATTGAGGACGATTATTATAGAATAGGTACAAATTGTAACAATTACAATAGTTATAGGGCTTAGTGTTAATTGTGTGATCCTCAAAAAGCAACTCAAGGTGGTCAAGTGGAGTTGTTGATAATATTAATAGCTTTATCTGGGAATTTCAACTAAACGCTACGTCATATTAAAGTAATTGGTCAATGAGGAATAGCTTAGTATTCAGCAATCTGGGAAGATGGAATAAGAATAACAAAATACAAGGAAGGATGTTTTGAGAAATCACGTGAACAATCATGTAGAGTCGCTTAAGACTTTGCCTTGCCTGGTTCTATCTTTGTTGAAATTTTGAGCGAATTTAAAGATAATTTAGAATGAAGATCAGTGGGTAGTGGACTTGAGATATATGGATTGACAAAAAATTTAAAAAATGAATACTTTATGGTGGTTCAATATACCAATGAAGGAAGTCTTGATAATTATTTGGAAAAAAAATTTAAAAATGTTAAATGGAAAAATAAACTAAATCTTATATATATTTCAGCGGATTTAGCTCAAATTCATAAAGCATGATATATACACAAGGACCTTCATAGTGGTAAGCAGCTGATATTTATAGTTTGGGTGTTATTATGTCAGGAATGTCATTAATGTCAACAGGAAGAAAGCATTTTGATGAATATAAATTTAATACTGAACTTGTACTAGATATTTTCAAAGGATTACGTCCAAAATTTGCTTTAGAAACACCTCAATGCTATGTTAACTTTGCAAATCAATGTATGGATTCAGACCCACATCTACTAAACTTGAAGAGTGAATGCAAGCTATTAAATCTTCTGAAGATAAAGAAATTAAAAGACAATTTATAATAGCTGACGAAATAACCAACGGATTAGTTGACTTACAAATACAGATTGAAAATAATAGATATATTAGTAAGCTTATCAACATGCAAGAAGTCATAGACAAATTATCTGAAGTTCTAGACTCTGAAATAATAAATATTCAAGTTCCTGATAATTTATAATATAATTTGTGCCTTCAGTATGAAATAGAAAGTTTTTACAGGTATTATCATAATTCATGGAACACCTGTAAAAATTTGCCGAATGATTTTTCAAGTTATAGATTTCGGGAATAATAAGATTCAGTAACAGATATATCAGATACGTAATTTAATAAGATCATATAAGCGCGTAATAACGCGCAGGGGTGTAATTTCGAATTTTGGCCTAAATTAAGCCTAATTCGGGCCATTATTCAAAATAACGCCCCTGCGCGTTATTACGCGCTTATACGGTATATATTACAATAAGATTAAATATCGACATGCATACATGTCGCACTTTTAAGTCGTAAATTTCAATTCCTATTCTTTGGCACGATCCATTTTCGCTCAAACGAAGCCTTTAATTATTTTTTGACGAAAATTCGGGTTTAAAAAATTGTGTAAAATTTCAATTCCTATTCTTTGACAAGATCCATTTTCGTTCAAACGAAGCCTTTATTATTTCTAAATATTTTTCGACAAAAATTTGGTTTTAAAAATTGAGTAAAATTTCAATTAATTCCCATTCTTTGGCAAAGATCCACTTTTGTTCAAACGAAGCATTTATTCATTTCTAATTAGTTTCAACGAGAATTCGGTTTTCGTTCAAACAAAGCCCTTATTCATTTCTAATTATTTACAACGAAAATTAGTTTTTAAAAAATTGAATTACCATTCTTATCACTTTGATTTCGTTCATCATAATTCTTCATGCATTCTCGACAAATATAAATAATATCTTGGTCGTTTGAAATCATAATCCGAGATTCATTTTTAAATCAGTTGACAAATTCATGATCATATTTAACTTTTTTATTAGCGGCACCTGTTCGAGTAATATATTTGTTATAAAAGTCTAATTTATATTCGATTCCTTTTTTACATTTCTTGTTAAGGTTTATTGGTTGACATGAACAGTTTTTTCCATAAATTTTCGTACAAACTAAGCACACCAAACATGTTGGACAAGCATTCGAACGAAAATTTAAGATTGTTGACATTATTGTTATGACAATCATAAAATGATCATTATTATACAGAAATAGCTTTTATTAATTATTTTATTATACGGATTATGATAATAGCTGTAAGCAAATAAATAGTATATTGAATTTACTCATTCGAATTATTAACTTGTTTTTAGTTTATCTAATCACAATTAATTTATTAGTAAATTAAAACATTCGATAAGTTTATCATTTGAAAATGGCTTAATCTAAGTATTTGAAATAAGTTACCTATAGCTGCCGTCCAAATAGTTATAGCTATTGGACCAATCCGAAATCTTGTCCAGAATCCAATTCATAAAGTAAGTTCCACGAATTTAATTAGTCCCAAATAACGGTTAATATCTTATAAAGAGTCCCAAACTAGTTAGGTTTGGACGGCAATTATACATTACCTCTTATTTAACGTTATTTGATCGCATTATGTGTAATATTAATTTAATCAATAATTACGAAGATCTGGCTTGTAAATTTTAACTATATATTATAAAAATTGATTAGTCTAATAAGATTATAATACCTTTAATATGAAGATGTTCTTCTGAATCAATAAACTTAATTATACTTCTAATTCCTTTTCATCAAGCTCCTAGTTAGGTCTCTAAAAATACAGTATCTATAAACTGATAATGGTTAATAGTAGACTAGAGTTAGCGAATTTAATTAGTCTCTCATGTGAATACTATTATCGGAAAAGTGAATACTAAAATTTGGAACTGGTTTATCTTAAGCCGATTAAAACTAGTTTTAACATATGAAAAATAAAACTGGTTCCAAACTCTATTGAAACGTTTTTCAAAGATTGTGTTTAAACATAGATAGCTATCTTTCTGTTTGCCATCGCTTGCCTTATAGTAAAAAGCCAACTCTATTATCTTTCCATCCATCTCTTAATGGCTCAACTCTATGCTATGTGCCAATTATTGATTTCTGTCAATTTGAAATAAGCAAGTGCCATTTGTGAATCAATGTATAACGTAGAATTTTACCAATTTAAAAATATGCATTTTTATATGAACATTTATTATTCAACGAAGGAATAAAAATTAATTGGTAAAACATCAAGTACTGAATCTTTATTCATTTATTTATTTTAGAACAAAAATTCATTTCTTAAAATTAAAGCAAATTATATATATATATTTTTTTTATAACAATGGATATTTTTTATTTTATATAACTAGAAAACGGGATTCGTTGGATTCCGTAGGCCGCTTCATATTTTGCGTACCAATTTTCGAAAAAATCTACTTATTTGCAAGATATTAAAAAAAATTGTTTAATGCAAATGCATAACTATCATATACTGTCCAATGAAAATGTAAGAAGCCTTTAACTTTGTAAATGCAATTTAACACTGTGAATTAAATTAATAATGATTAATTACTTAAAAGAATTGTTCTCTCACTTATTAGATCACAAGAATTTAAATAACTAGATCACAAGAGTTTAAATAATTATATCGCAAGAATTTAAATAAGGGAAGTGTCATTTATCATATAATTTTTTTATCGGGAGTGGGTGCCAAAATATCTTGCTGATAGATCAACATATGTATGTGTTTATATGCAATCGTAATCATTTGAGGGAAGGGGAAATTTTACTATTTACAAAAAATCAGCAGATAAATGTAATTAGTTCTCATTACATTTGAATTAATGCAGTCGGATTTTCTATTAGATATCTGTTCATATTGGATAACGAACATATATTTGCAGATAGTCGGATATCTGCTAAACTATCCGATACTCGATTAATAATAATGATGATGCATTCATAGATTAGAGAATTTTTTTTTATAAATACGTATTTTATCTTTTTATATATTTTTTATACATAATAGTAATAATGGATAGTGAGATTATTTATCTAGCGAAAACTCAAGAGAAATATCTCTGAGTTGCTCGAATAATAATAATATATGCATGATAATATTGATTAAATGGGGGTGAGTCAATAGAAATCAAGCAAATTTTTTATAATAAAATTTTTTTATAGCTTTAAACAAGAATAACTTAACAAAAACTTAACAAAAACTTGACCAAATTTAATAAAAATTTTTTTAAATAATTTTTACAAACTTGTAGAATTAATTTAAAAAAATTTTTATTAAATTTGATCAAGTTATTCTTGTTTAAAATTTTAAAAAAAACTTACTAAAAAAAATTTGCTTGGTTTCTATTGACTCAACCTCAAATACACATTCTAATTGCGACTAACCTTTTTTATAACAATTCTTATAATAAAAATTCGTTAAAATTTTCTATTTAGCTTGTTTTATAAAAAGTTCATTATATCTAGAATCGACTGTATTTTTGATTAATTCAACGGATTTAGTCGGATAACATAAATATCTGAAATTCGCAACTATCCGAAAAATAGACTAAATGGATAGTCGATATCCAATCTCTAATTTGATTTTATAGCAGTTTTAACCCGGCTATAAGAAAAAATTAAATCGGCCAGATTATGAGAACTAACTAATTAAAATTTTATGATCATATGGGCCTGCTTGATTTCTACTGACGGTAGCCCTTATAAAGTGTGAAATTAATTAAAAATTTTGCTTATATTTATAAACCATTCCTCTTCAAACATTCGTTCTTGCATTCTTGCGCTCTTTTTAATACGTTAGCGAATTTCCCACCCGGTTCTTCTAATAGGAGCAAAAATAAATTTGAACGATATGACATATACTAAGTGACAATAATTACAATACTGCCATAATTATGATCGATTGGGCGAAATAGTAATTTGGAAAACTTTTCTTATCCTACACCCGGAACTCAAGTTAAAGAACAATATATAAGATATACTAAATTACTAAGTAATAATAGCTACAACAATGATATGATTCTGATCAATTGAAAGATAATGGTAATTTTCCTTATCCTATACCCGGAACCCAACCGGAATTTTTCTTGCCTATTATCTGGACTTAAGTTTCTCCGCTTTGCTTCGGAAATAATCTAAACAATCGTATCAGCTTGAAAATAACAAATTTCTTTTTCTAATGAGCAAGATCTAATATTGCAATTAGCCTTTTTGCAATGATAACAATTACCAGTTTTTTTTAAGGTACTGAACCAAAGTTTATGACAGACTTAGTTAACACTATTCAATTAAATTGTTATTTATAATAAGGATGACAAATAATACGGAATATTTTTTTACTATACCCTCTACCCTCTCCCCACGTAAGAGAAATTTGGTTGGCTAGTTTATAAATTTATTCTAACATAAGATATCCAAGATCCCCCTCCTCCCCTCAGAATATTACGTAATATTTGTCACTGCCCTAATAAATATAAATAATTAACATTATTAACTCAAGCTCTTGTGCGAAAGTGGCGTCCTGTCGCACTACTTGTGGTAGTTCCTGTAATTTCTTTTAATATTCTTTCCATTAATTCTATGTACATAATTATAAATCCTAAGATGAAGTATTGTCAGTCTTTCAATTTAATTTATTTATTCTTGAATTGCTATGTCTCAATTATACGCCGTCTTCATCATGATGAGTTAACACTTTCTATAATTGGAATTGGTTTCATTTTCCAAAAATATTTTCCTAAATATTTTTAGGAAATGGTTATTGGGCAAATTGTTGTAAGGTCGGGCAAATGAAATACAGTGAATAGTAAAGATTCATAAATATCTTTTATTAACAAATAAATAAATTGTTAATGTTCATGAAATAAATAAGCGTTTAATAATCATTTTTTACACTTAAAAATGAAAATGTGAAAGTAAAAATATTCATGGTAAATTTCGACAAAGTTGTATAGTTTATTATAATAATTAGTTTACTAAAATATCCTTTATACATGGAATAAAATTAAACAGTAACTTGAATAGTTGATTTTAATACTTAACTGTTAAATTTATGAATGTTCTTTATGCTCATACAGTGCATTAAATTATCACGAAAAAAATGAAATTAATAGTTAATGTTCATGAATTTCAATAACTTATTAAACCCTTATATAGTAATAATATTTTTTAAGCTTACGCACTAACACTGGTTGAAATAGAGTAAACCAGGTAGATATCATAGCCCAATATGTCCACGATTAGTGTATCATTCGTTGCGGTATTTGGCTAACTATGTAAATCAAACTATTAAGGATTTTTTAAAATTTTTTTATTAGGTTTATTTTAATAGTAAAGAGTAACTTACATGTTTTTGGATATCTAGAGCGAATCGCTTTACTTTTTTTCAATCATGAAGCTATTGTTAAACACGTTTATAACAAGTTACGCTAAAAAATTTTATGTTCTATTATTAAATTTCTTACCTGTAATGGAAATAATTCTCTTTTGAATAGTTCACAACACGAAATAGTTTGTAAAGAGCCAACTTGAGATTTAAAAATAAATATTAAAAAATTTCAACGTCAAAAATTTTTGGCTCCTTTATGAAAAGAATTTTTACTAACTTTGTTATAAACGTGTTTAGAATACTGTATTTCAGAAATAAATGTGAAAATATTAAAAATTATAAAATTTATACCATAAAATGAAATGGCAAACACAAATTGGTAAACTTTTTGATAACAAAGGTTATTTATTCGAATTATCGGAAAAAATGAATAAACTTGATATGTTGCCTATTTGAAAAATAAATACGGCACCTATTTCTATCAAAACCTAATTTCTGCGTTTTAATTCTGAAACTCTCAATATAAAACTTAAATACTAATAGGTAAGCATAAAAACAAAGTAAAAACATAGATAGATTTATACTTGCATAAAATGAAAAACATGCATTTGATATTTGACAAAGAAAATGTTAAAGATTTCATTGAAGAAATAAAACTCCTCATGTAAAAAAAGATGAGATTAAACAAAATTAAATCCTAATTTTTTAATTTTTCTATTATGCTTACATAATAAACATAATAAACATCGAAAACAAAAATTGCCTTTTCTTTATAAAACTAAACAGACCGTTTTTTCTTCTTGCCCTTGTCTTCAAAAGCGATGCCCGTGCAGCATGTTTGAACACCTCGTGAACACCCTCACCAGTCTTGACTGAACATTCCAGATATTTATAAGCATTAATTTCTTGAGAGACACTAAACCCCTTGTTTTAAAATGACATATACAAATTAGATATATAAAAGTATAAACCAATATATTGTTGAACCTCTCAAAACCGATCCTGTCAAAATCGATAACCTGTCAAATCTGAAAAAAAATTAATCTACAAAGTCTGTTTCTGTTAATGTTTTCAAATCCGATAACCTCTCAATATTGATACAAAACCTATCCACCATGCATATCGGCTTTGAGAGGTTCAACAGCAACAGTATAATAAAACTATACCCTTTTATTAATATACCTCTTCAGGCGTCACTGGGCTTTGAGAAGTCTTGCGAAGTTCTTCAACAGTCCTTGGATCGAATCTCAAATCTTTCTTGCATCCAACTAGGATGATAGGCAAACCGTGACAGAAGTGCATTAACTCTGTAATCCACTATTAAATATAAATATAATTAAAATTTCAAGCCAAACTAAAAATTCTATACAATTACTTAAATAAATTTAATGATGATAAACAATGGATTTCCATTCAATAATCTTAAAAATTTTTTATCTTAATTGATGATATTAAATTATGTTTTATCCGGATATTTTCTTAAAGTGTCATAATTTTAAATTATTCAACTCGTATACAATATATCATCACAGAGTTGAATGGAAAATTTTGATCACTTACTTTTTCTTGTACATTATCCAAGGAATCAGGAGAATCAATAGAAAAACAAATTAAGATAACATCAGAGTCAGGATAAGAAAGCGGTCGTAGACGATCATAATCATCCTGACCTATTCATTCCCAACATAACAACTATATATTAATGCATAAAAAATTTTACTAATGCCGCAGAAATATAACTATAATATTATTACCAGCTGTATCCCATAAGACCAATTCAACATGTTTACCATCTACTTCAACGTCAGCAACATGGTTTCCGAATACAGTAGGAACATAGACCTGTGTAATAAGATGATATGAAAATAAATTTGAGTAGAAAATTTTGGTGCACAATATTGTAAAACCGCTATGGGCTTCTAATTTGTTGGATCTCGTTATTCTCAATAAAACAATCAGTGATATCAAAATTACATTGCCTATAGTAAAATAGGAAACATCATAAATCTAAGACTTTAGTCAAAATTTCTACAACTTGTTTATGCTGAAAATTTAATACAAAATCAAAGAGCATGTTTAAGGAGCAACCGAAATTATTTCCTTCTAATGATTAAGCTGGTGTTTCTTTTAAATTACGTACCTCAGGTAAAATGCCTTTAGAGAAAACGTATAGAAGACATGTTTTGCCACAGGCGCCATCACCAACAATGACAAGTTTTCGGCTAAAATCAATCATTCTGTTTGCAAAAGTGCGGAGAGATTAAGTGATAAAAGTCCAGCTATGTTTTAAACTGTCAAGTGTTAAGCGAAGTCGTCTAAAGCCAGGTGGTTTTTAAATTGATTACAAATTTGTAAATTAAAAATCACATGATGCATATAAATACTACCTGTCTTCAGACGACCCATTAAGCGCAGATTGAAGCATCAAAATAATTTCCGTATTTAGAAATTATGAAATAATCGTTTGCCCCAATACCAAGCAAGCATTGTAGTATAAGAAAAAGAAACCTTTATTATTATTCTAATATTTACTTAGTTACAAGGTTCATCGAAATACCATAAATTCTTTCGATAATATAATAACTTTAATCAGAGTACAGTGGATGCTGAAATTTTTGGGGAGGTCTCTTGCGAGTTATATATCAATTATCATACGTACTATGCTTATTAATAAAATTTCCATAAACGGTTGTCGGCCGAAACGGAGTTAGAGTTAGGATATCTTTTGTTGGTCAGACAAAAGGGTTACACAAATGTGTATGTCCGCAAATTACGGCTAATCTAATAAAAACAATCATTATGCTGTCGTAATGATCCATGTTGATTTTTCTTTCGGACTTAAATGGTTTCAATTTACCTAGTATATAATAATAATATCAAAAAATGCAATCTATGCATTATGTAGATCATATACTGAATCTGGAACGCCCTTAGCTGTCCCCCACAATAAATCGGATTTCAGGATCAGATGTAACGTAAAAATCGAAGCGAACCCACTTTTTTACAAAAAAAAAAACAATAGCTCTAATAAAAAATGTTCCTCGTGAAATTTTACCAATACCTCCAACCCTAACCCTACACAGTTCTCACCCTATAACGTGGTTTTCTTTTACGCGACTTCTTACTTAGAAAACATTGTTTTGACTATCACGTTACGCCTGTTTTTAAATTTTGATTGCCAAAATTTACAGGGGGCAAGGATGGTAAATGGCCTGGTCATTTGTCAAAATTTAAATGACCCAAGTCGTTAAATAATGACCTGCTATTAGTGATTTTAACCGAGTATCAAATCAATAATCGGTTAACCGAACCGTCTCACCCGATTCTAATCAGATTAACCGGAATTATTTCGGTTAACGAGGTTAACCGTGTCAACCGGACATAAAAAATATCAACCGGGTTAACGAAATACAGAAGAATCAAGCACTGGTCGGGTAATTTTAAACTAGCAGCTTTTGGAAATATTCAAACGCCTTATGTTCCTTATTCAATTTCTATTCCTTTTGCATCATTCGTATAATACAAATTGCGCAAAATTTGCGAGTTTTAAACAGATAATTCAATTACAAATCTTGTTTTCTTAGCGTCACTTATCTATCATACGTATTGATTTTGATTTAATAATCAGTTAACCGGGTAACCGATAGTCAACCGGTTGTACCGGAGATTACAGCTGTTCTCATAAATTTTGGGACATCTGGTAAAAAATTGACCGAATGATTTTAGGCCGATTCGATAAGTTT